AATGACAGCGGTGGACATACATCGGAGGTCTCTCATCAGAAGATAAGAGGTTCTTACTAATGGCTCTCTGCCCATGTCAGCCCATTCAGAGTGTCTTATGTTTCAAAGTCATGTGGCCTTGCACACATGAATACATGGCTGTATGCAAGCATGCACACACACACACACACACTCTCTTCAGGGGTATTCCCTCATGCTTTTTTGCATGTGACTATAACTCATCACTTGGTGTCACTGTTAATGAATCACAAAAGAAAGGCCATTTGATAATGCACCAAAAAGCACCTTGCTAATGAATGCAGTAAGCCAGATGCATGTCTTGCATACATCCCTATCTATAGCTGATGCAATTGCATGAGTGTTCCGTTACAAAATGACATGCATACGTGTCTGCTTCTTACCTTGCATACGAGCTCTTCCCCACTGTGCAGGTGGGTGGCTCTGAAAACGTGGTCTCCCTCAATGGGCTCCAACAAAAGGTAATTTCCAATGCAAGAAATGCAGTGAGAGGAGTCAGGGGTCTCAGGAGGGCTGGGAGATCCTAAATTGGGACTGAAACTCTGGTTGGATTCTGTAGTCCTTAGACAAGATAACGTTAGCTCCTCAAAGTCGTGTGTTTTGTGCCTCGATCTCCCATAACGCGAAATGTTAATGGGACTGGATCTCTGTATGTTCATGAGTATAGGAGGAGGTTCGTCCAGATCAGGAGGGTTCAGACGGTCTTACAGGAGGAGGGGTGGAAGAGAATGACAAACAGATGCCCCCTATTTAACACTGGGCATGAAGGCAGCGGCGATTCCCCTCGACTGTAATGATGATCTTATGCGTGTGCGTTAATTGCAATGACAATGTGGCGTCATTTGAGCACACATGCAATGACGTGCATGCACGAATTGTGACCTCTATGCTCACTGTGCCCTCAAAGAACACCACGGTTTGGTTACAAGAGCCAAAAAATGCAAGAATCGGCGCGGTATAATGTAAAGGTTGTGACGTCAGGGACGATGCAGCGCAGCAGGTAACGTTAAAGAATGGGTTTTTTGCATAAAATTAAAAGGGAAAGGTGCCAGCTGGGTTTAGATATCCTGAGAGGGCGCTCCGTGTTCATTTAAGCAGGTCTCCACGCGAAGCCTGGTCATGCATCTACCAAATATGGCTAGGAAAAATTTCCTCCAGGTCGCGATCCGCCTTTTGTTACGCCTGGGAAGTCGATGCGAGCAACCAAACTCCGACGATCTCCGGCGCTTGGATCTGATTTGGACAAAGGCGAGAGGGGACGGCCGACGTTCTCCCCGGGCCTATCCCTTGTTTCAGCAACAAGACAGCATTATCATCATCTTTGTCTTCTTACTTACGTGGCTGGGAATCTAGTCCATTGAACGCGCGGGGTCAGCTGCACAGACGAGCGGGCTGACTGACTGACTAGTGCGCTCGCGGGACTGACTGGAGCTCTCCACGCGCACGACCGGCCCCCCTGACGTCACGGGCAAAGCGCTCTCCCATTGGCCGCTCGCTAGATGCTGACACATCTACAGTCTTGCAAGCAAGCCATCCATGCAGTCATGTGAGATAATTGTTGTCCTTGGAATTTAATTGAAGCACCCTAAATTATCTGTCTATATGGTGAATTCTAGAGGGGAAGTGTGTGTTAGGATTAAATGTCAGTTGGTTTGTGCAATGAAGCAAAAATGACATCAAACTTTGATAAACTACATATGTGTGTGTGTGTGTGTATACATACATACATACACACACACACACATATATATATATATATATATATATATATACATTTCTGTCTCTAGTGATGTGTACATTTAGTACTTTGTACAAAATTCTAATGAAAGCGCTCAAGCAGCTATCGGTTGCTATGGTTACATGCTCACTCAATTTGTAATTTGTAATCATGCTAATTTGTTTCATTTTTCATCTAGTGTTTCCGCTTGGAGTGGACATGCGCTGTTCGATACTACAAGCAGATCAGTTGCTATGGTTACCTGCTTGCGAGTGTCTATATTTCACCAATTCAGAGAAACTTGTAGCCTAACTTTTCATCTAACACTTGTGTTTGTACAAGCACTGTCCAAGTCTAACAGAAGCGCTCAAACGGTGATAGGTTGCTATGGTTACGTGCTGCAGAATGCAATATGTATTAGCCAGCATCTAAATTTAGCATATTCGGACTAACTTGTATCCTGATCTAGCTTTTGTTTAAATTTTCATCTAGTGTTTGTGTTTGGACATGCGCTGTCCAATACTACTGATCCTAACAAAATTGCTCGAGCAGTGATCGGTTGCTATGGTTACCTGCTCACACGAACTGTATTCGCTAGCATCTATATTTCACCAATTTGGAGTAACTTGTAGCCTAATCTAACTTTTAACTTTACATCTAGTATTTGTGTTTGTACATGCACTGTCCTAAAGTCCCTTTAAGTCTTTGACTGTCCGATACCAATCCCTAACAAAAACGTTTAAGCGCCAATCGGTTGCTATGGTTACATGCTCATGCGAATTCGATTTGTATTCGAATCGCGAGTGTCCATATTTTGCACATTCAGACTAACTTGTATCCTATGGTTACTTACGGATTTGTATTCTATGTCTTGCGCATTCGAATCTAACTTTTGTTTACAGAAATGTTTAAGTAAAAGTTACACAAATACATGACCGGTCAAAGGCTTGACTTACCAGCTCATTCTTTATTCTCAATGTACGTTTCAGAGCAATCTTTTTTTCTTTTTTTTCAGAATTATGTTATTATATGTATATACTGTATATTGTAGGCAGAAGTCTAGAATGGAGTTCCTGGCCAGATGGTGAATCTGGGTTAAATCCCCACATGTTAATAGCAGGTCTATTCCCTGCTTTAGAAATGTAGGATTCTGTACAGTGTTTCTGAACAAAAACCAGTTGTGTGGATGTTCATGCTAGAGCGACAAGCTACTACAACAAATCTGGGCAGATTATATTCTTATAAGGGTGAATATAATGAAACATGGCTAAAGGATATGTCCTGATCATATTCCATCCTAAAATATTATATAAAAATAATAATAAAAACAACAAAAATACGTTAAACAAATAAAATTATATATATATATATATATATATATGTATATATGTGTATATATACTATATACATAGCCTAATATGTATGAATATATTCATCCATAATCACCCAAGACTTAAAAAAGACCTCAACAAAAGACCTGATCTTGTTGTAACTTACAATTTCAGGGTAATAAATTCATATTTAAATTTGACTCATGTATCTGCCGCATTATTTCAGAGCAGATACATCATGTACTATTTCATTTGGTGTGACATATTGATGAAGTGATGTAAGTTTTACCGCAATGATCTGAGACTGGTGAGTGAAAAATCTCTGCTGTCTGTTATGTCTGTGTATAATCTGTTCCAGTTGTATCAAGTCTTGTTATTGTTGTTGCACAGTGTCATGATTTGTACGAGTTGGTGTTGAATTTCAAAACTGATTACATGTACTGGAAGAGAGAACATTGAGGAATCAAGGGGATTTTTTGAATTTGTGTGTTTTGGATGAATGACATTGCTGTGCCTCCCACTCATACATTCACAAAGTGTTTATTGTGTGTAACAGTGAATGGTGGGTAGAGTGACATATTTATGTACCCCACAGTTGAAATGTGGTAAGGATAGTTCACCCAAAATTATAGATGTTGTATTTTACTCACTCTCATGTAATTTCAAACCTATATGATTTACTTTCTTTCTTTTATGGAGGCCAAACTGAGGAATGTTGACACCGCACTCATCTACACAATGAAAATGCATGGAAAGGGCTGACAAGCTCTAAAATGGACAAAAAAGCATCATAAAAGTATTCCATACAACTTGCATTCTATATTGTGTGCTATATATGTCTTCTATAGCCATGCAATAGATTTGTGTGAGGAAAAGGCTAAAAGTAATTCACTGAAAATCTTGTTAACTATCTGTGGTAACCTGTAATTTAGTATTATTGAGATACTGTTCTATTTTTTATTAATTCTGAATTATTTTTTATTTTTATATTTTTCGTTTTCATTTTTAAGTTTTAGCAATTTTGTTGTGTTTTTGTCATTTTTTTTAGTTTTTGTTATTTTAGGAAATCAAGTAAATCAACTAAATAAAAATGAGAAATGTTGCCTTGGCAACAAGCTAAAACAAAATATTTTTAATTCAGTTAACTTTTATTTTATCTTAATTAACAAAAATGTTTTTCTTGTGGTTATATTTTTAGTTAACTATCCTAACTCTGACTTTCACTGTATGTAAAAAGCAGCTTCAATAGAAAAAGTAACCTATGTGCTTTTAAATCTAACTTTTAAAAAAATTCTTGTCTTCTCTGCATTTCTCCTTTTCTCTAGTTTGCTTCCTGATCTAGCTGTCTAATAAACTTGGCACTGTATATTACAAATATGGGTTTCTCTTTAACAAATGGCTTTTGTATATTTTAGATATTTTACTTTTTTTATAAGTAGCTGTGGATAAAAAAAAACATCTGAATAAATGTAAAATCTTTAGTAATTGACTTTAAGTTAAAACTATTGTTTTATGGCACCAAGTCAACATAAACACATTAATTGGACATTCATTAGACAAGTCAGTCAGGCACAGGGCTTTCAAAAGACATGAGGGTAAGGAAATGAATTTTCATTTTTATTAAAGTTTATTAGAAACCTGAACTAGAACCCCCGTGCAGTTTTATTTATTTATTTATTTATTTATTTTACCGTGAGCAACTCAATGTAAAGCAGTCACGATTCTTCTGTTTTGTTCATCTGAGAAAGTGTCTTCTCACTTACATTCCTGAGCTCCTGAACTGTTTTCCCAAAGAAGAACAAGCAGTGGGGTGGAAGGTGAGTCGATACAGGATTGAGCAATTCTCCATTGTGGAATGCAGGGCGTCATATGGAATGCACACAGCTGGATGAGAGACACAGACAGAACTGTTCATTCCAAACAGATTCCACCCCCTGACATAACACTGCAAAGGGGGAGCCGGTGGCTTTTCTCCTGCAGTTCACGGCCTCGGTGTGCCTACGCTTCATGAGATTGTGTTTGTCACATAAACAGCCCATTTCTTGAAGAATCAATGGACTGCAACCGCTAAACAGCTACCAAAAAAATAGCACGCCATGCTCTTAAAAGAATAGTTAATCCAAAATAGAACATTTTCTGACAGTTTACTCACCCTGGGGCCATTCCAAGATGTAGATGAGTTTGTTTCTTCATATGTGACCCTGGACCACAAAAGTCAAGTCAAGTCAAGTCACCTTTATTTATATAGCGCTTTTAACAATACAGATTGTGTCAAAGCAACTGAACAGCATTAGAGTTTTTTTGAGAGTGTCAAAACCAGTCTTAAGTCGCTGGGGTATTTTGTAGGAATAGCCAAAAATACATTGTATGGGTCAAAATTATTAATTTTTCTTTTATGCCAAAAATCATTAGGACATTAAGTAAAGATCATGTTCCATGAAGATATTTTGTAAATTTCCTACTGTAAATATATCAAAACTTAATTTTTGATTAGTAATATGCATTGCTAAGAACTTCATTTGGACAACTTTAAAGGCGATTTTCTCAATATTTAGATTTTTTTGTACCCTCAGATTTCAGATTTTCAAATAGTTGTATCTCGGCCAAATATTGTCCTAACAAACCATACATCAATGGAAAGCTTATTTATTCAGCTTTCAGATGATGTATAAATCTCAATTTCAAAAAATTGACCCTTATGACTGGTTTTGTGGTCCAGCGTCACATATATAGGAACAGTTGGAGAAATTTAGCATTACATCACTTGCTCAGCAATGGATCCTCTGCAGTGAATGGGTGCCGTCAGAATGAGAGTCCAAACAGCTGAGAAAAACATCACAATGATCCACAAGTAATCCACAGCACTCCAGTCCATCAGTTAATGTCTTACGAAGTGAAAAGCTGCATGTTTGTAAGAAACAAAGTCCTCTATTAATAATATTGCTTTTTTCAGTGAAAAAGTCATCTCTTCTGAATCAGGAGAGAAATATGCACAGATCAAGTACCGTTTACCAACCAAAACATTTCTAAACAAATATATTGGTGGATTTTGATGTGAGAGTGTTATTATGGATTATGGACTCATATTTCGGCCAGAAGTGATGGTTTGAAATTAAAACGCCTTAATGATGGATTTGTTTCTTACAAACATGCAGCTTTTTATATCACAAGATAGTAATTGATGGACTGGAGTGTGGATTATTTGAGAATTATTATAATGTTTTTATCAGCTGTTTGGACTCTCATTCTGACGGCACCCATTCACTGCAGAGGATCCACTGGTGAGCAAGTGATGGAATGCTACATTTCTCCGAACAAACTCATCTACATCTTAGATGGCCTGAGGGTGAGTACATTTTAAGCACATTTTCATTTGTG